TGAGCTTTCCGAAACATTCACTTACCAGAAATTACTCATTGCCTAAGTGTGCCAGAGGGATGCTAAAGCATGCTAAAGCAAAACTCTAAGCTTCCTTCTGGGGGAATAAATCAGAAGTACTCATCTCTATGAGCCGGACATTTAATTCAGTTGACCTGACAGATACTGAGAATATAGAGTTGACTCCAAGGGGTACAAATCAGTGAGAGCTTGTGAGCCTGATGAGTTACAAGGCCTAGTGTTCAATTTCCTGAAAATTCTTCTGAGCAACAGGTAAACCCATCAGTTGTGATTGGTGGTTATGGCGTATGGAAACACAATTTTCATTTAGGTATTACCTTTTGAAAGAAAAATCTGTATATGAAAGAATAAAATCACCACAGTTAAAATAGGAAAATGGAATGGAAAATTACTTTTAGTTGTCCAAAATAAAATATTGCTAGCTAGCAGTATTTGTAAAGCAAAGCTGTTAAAAATGATGAACTTAGTATCTGTAAATCTTAAGGTACTTTCTTAGAATCCAGACATAGGGATGATTTCAAAGCTAAGGAAGAAAAAAAAGATATATGCTGGTGTTCTCATTTCTTATCAAGTATAATAACTGCTTTATTTTAAAGTATGTTCGTTAGCTCTGCCTGTTCTTCCTGTATGCAAGGTAATTACCCAGATAGTGGCACTGTTTGCGGTTCTTCATTCCACTGTGTAGGTCCAGACTTCTTTCTGTTACCATTTTCCTCCTGCCTGAAAGATTTCTATAACATTTCTTGTAGTACAGATCTGCTGGTGATGAATTCTTTCAGCTTTTGTATGTCTTTTAAAATCTTTAATGTCTTTTCATTTCTAAAAGATGTTTTCATTAGGTATAGAATTGAAGGATGCCGGTACATTTCTTTGAATAGATGTTGCTCCATTGTCTTGTGGCTCACATTGTTTCTGATGAGAAGTATGTTGTCATTTTAATCTGTGTTTTTTTGTATGATATGTGCCTTAATTTTCCCTTGGCTGCTTTTAAGATTTTTTCTTTCTCACTAGTTTGAAGCAATTTGGTTTTATTTCCTTATGTTTTTTGTGCTTGGGATTCATTGAGCTTCCTGGACCCCTGGTTTACATTTTTCATTAAATTTGGAATATTTTCTGTGGTATTTATTCAACTGTTTTTTCAGCCTGTCTTTCTTTGGGGAAACCAATTACTTGTATATTTGGCCATTTGAAGTTTTTCCACAGCTCACTGATGGCTCTGTTCATAATTCTCCAGTATATTTTCTCTGTGTGTTTCCCCTTGGATAGTTTGTATTGCCTAGTCTACAAATTCTCTCTTTCTTTTACAGTGTCTAATCTATTTTAATCTCATACAGTGTATTTTTTTATTTCAGACATTGTACTTTTTGCCTCTAGAAATTAGATTCGAATATTTTTTTCTGTCTTCTATATCTCATGTTTATTTTTTCCTCAAGCTTCTTGGAAACTTGGAGTACAGTTAATAATAATTGGTTTCAGTTTTCTTGTCTGCTGGCTCTATCATCTGTGTAATTTCAGGGTTTGTTTTTATTGATGGATTTTTCTCTTAATTATGAGTCATATTTTCTTGCTTTCTTTCAACTGGTAATTTTTGGTTGACTGCCAGTCATTGTGAATTTTACCTTGTTTGATGCTGAGTATTTTTCTGTTTCTATAGATGATATTCTTGAGCTGTTAACAATTCAAGAATATCATCTATAGAAATAGATGTTCTGTTTCTATAGAAATAGAAACAATTGTTAACAACTTATCTGTTAACAGTTAAGTTACTCAGGAACGTTTCGATCCTTCAGAGCCTTGTTTTTTAAGTTTTATGAGGTGAGACTATAGCAGCATTTAATCGTGGGCTAATCCTTTCCCATTATTGAGACAGTACTCTTCCGATAACCCCTCAGTGCTCTGTGAATTAAGAGGTTTTCCTGCTCCAGCGGGTGGTAACAGGAACTATGTCTGCCCTGTTTGAACTCCTAGTATTGCTCTCGATAATCCTGGGTTTCTTAGCCTTAGAGCTGTTGACATTTTGGAGTGGATAATTTTTGGGGGGCAGGGGAACTGTCCTGTGTGTTATCTGATGTGTGGCAGAATCCTGGCCTTTACACACTAGATGCCGGGAGCATCTCCCCAGTTGCCCTCAGTTAAGGGCCATTGATCTACCCTTTCTGGTAGGTTTTCACACACGTGCCGCCGTCGGCGCTTGGCCGTTGGTCTGACCCTTTCTGGTAGTTTTTCACACACGTGCCGCCATTGGTGTTTGGCCAAGGACTCACGGGAGACCTTCCTCAGAGGTCTGCATTGCTGCCGCTCTCTCCTCTGCCATGCTCTTCCCTGAGGACTTTGCCCCTTGACCTTCCTGGGTCTCCAGCCACGTCGTCTCACCTCAGAGAGACCACGGGGCTCTCTCTAGATACCCTCTGCCCCTATCATGCCCTGGAAACTTTCTAGGCAGTAAGCCAGGGCGGTCAGAGGGCTTAACTGTGTGTCTTCTGTCCATGATCACTGGCTCTTGTTGCCTGATGTCTGTTGTCTTACAAAACCACTGTGCTTCATATATTTAGTCCCTGTAGACATTTGTTTCAGGGTTGCCCCTGTTAATTCCACCTTGCCTTCATCCTCATTCTTCATGTGCAGTTCAGCAGCACTGATCATACTCTTCAACTTGTGCAGCCATTCCATCTTTTTCCAAATTTTTCTACCACCATTAACATAGCTAAATGTTCCCTAAGTGGAAACTCTCTCTCCTCCTCTCCCTCCCACCTCTGGAAACCACTAATAATTTTTGGATTTTATATATTTGCTTATTTCATATAAGTGAGATCATATAGTATTTGTCCTTTTGCAATTGACTTACTTCGTTCAGCATAATATTTATAATATTTTCGAGGTTCATCCATGTTGTGTCACGCATCACAAGCTCGTTCCTCTCTACAACTGCGTAACATTCCATTGTACGTATATGCCATACTTTGTTTATCCATTCATCTGTTGGTGGACATTTCGGTGGCTTCTAACTCTTGGCTGTTGTAAAAAGTGCTGCAGTGAACGTTGGTGTACAGGTAGTGCCCGGGTTATGCGTGAGATCTGTTCCTAACTCTCTCTTTAAGTCACATTTGTAGGTGAGTCGAAACAGGTGCTTAAGGTTCTTATTTAGCCTTACTTTAGTGCAGGAAGAGGCTTGAAGCCCTGTCAGTGATTTAAAAGCTGCACACGCAGCAAGTGAAGGTGACTGTGATGAAGCATTTGTTGCAGGCAGGGGTGGGGTTGGTTCAGTCATTTCAGAGTGAGGGCAAATTTACGTAACGTTAAATGGCGAGCACTAGTTGTCCCTAAGTTGGACGTTCATAACTCGGGGACTGCCTGTATAGGTTTCTATCTGTGTTCCTGTTTTCATTTCTTTTGGGTATATACCTAGGATTGGGATTGCCAAGTCATTTGATAGTTCTGTGTTCAGCTTATTGAGGAACCACAAAACTTCTCCACAGTGACTGTACCATTTTACATTACTGCCAGGAGTGAATGAGGGTTCCAGTTTCTCTGCAACCTCACCAGCACCTAAATGTTTCCTGTTTTTTTGATCGTTGCCATTCTAATGGGGGCGAGATTGTATCTCATTGTGGTTTTGCTTTGCATCTTCTTAATGGCTAATGATGTTGAGCATCTTTTCACGTGCTTGTTGGCCATTTGAACCCTCTGGTGGTGTTTCTGTGGGCATATTCATTTTTTGAAAATCAGTCATGCCGTACACTTACGATTTGTGTACTTTTCTGTATATATGTATTTATAGACTTACATTAAACATGTAAGCATATAGATTATATTAAACATATAAACATATAGGTACATGTATGATTATAAATTGTGAACACATATGAAGGCAGAGAACAAGGTGCTGAGAGAACAGTTAACCAGAGGATCTGTTTTTATATTGAATGGTTGGGCCAGGCCTCTGTAAGAAAGTTATTCAAACTGAGTGAGGAGGAAAGTAGGGTAGATATAATGCTGGAGAGATATGTAGGCTTTCAAGCCATGTTAAAGAGTTGGATCTTCATCCCAAGATCAGTGGGCAGCTTTGGAAGGGCTCCTAGCAGGCCAGTTATGTGCTTTAAGTTTTAAAACAATTCCTCTGGCACTACACTGTGAAGAATGGATTTGAAAACGGGCCAAGGATGAATGCAGCTGGACCATGTGAGAATCTTGCAATGAAATACCCCAGGCGAAAAATGACATCATCAGTGATCTAGACCAGACTTTTATGTAAAGAGCCATACAGTGTCTGTTGTAACTACTCAGTTAAATTGGCTGTTTCTTTTTGTTTGTTTTGCTAAGAGTAGAAAAAATATATATATATATACATGTGTGTATATATATATATATGTGTGTGTATATATATATGTGTGTATATATATATATATATATTATTCTCAGATTCTTCCTAGTTCATTGACAAGGTATCTAATCCTCATTTTCTCCCTCCCTCCAACAGTAACAGCCCTCACCCTCACCCCTAACTGCTAGCTACCCTTACAAGCATAAAGCAGAGAGGACACATGTTGGAGGAAATTTTATGCTGATTCTTGTCATACATTAATGGTGTGGGGGCGGGGAGTGACAGCTAGATACAGTTGCCTGCTGCTGTTGTACAGGTACTTCTTTCTATTCTCTGTCTGCAAGGGGCTCCTGTCCAGGTAGTTGCCTTAAACCGCAAAACCAGACTTGTTGCCATCGAGTTGATTCTGACTGATAGCAACCCTATAGGACAGAGTAGAACTGCCCCATAGGGTTTCCAAGGAGCGCCTGGTGGATTTGAACTGCTGACTTTTTGGTTAGCAGCCAAGCTCTTAACCACTACACCACCGGGGTTTGTTGCCTTTTTATCATTTTTATGTCAAAATTTTAACACCATTTTGATTTTCTTTACAGTTTGATGTATTTTGCATTTTATATTTGGTTAATATGTGTATGTTCTTACCTTTGATTTTTTACAGGCTTTGCTTTCTGTACATGACACTGTGGCTCAGAAGAATTATGATCCTGTCTTGCCTCCGATGCCTGATGATATTGATGATGAAGAAGACTCAGTGAAGATAATCCGTCTGGTGAAAAATAGAGAACCACTGGTGAGTTGTCCATCTCGTCTACGTTTTGTGCTCAGACAGGAGCAGATGTCAGATTAAGCAAAATTTGACGGGCACACCCGATGTATTCCTCTCTTTAAAATGCACTTCTTGTGCCCTCAAGCCTTTAAAATAAATGGAACCTTTATTAAAGGAAAATGAAACCAAATAAAATGTCAGGCATTCTAGTGGCTTCATTGACACAAATTTTGAAAATGTGACCTATTGGCATTTATAACAGAAAGGGTAACATACACCAGTATTGGCTGATTTGAGATCAAATGATGTAACTAAAAATAATAATAACAGCTTATGGCTTAAATCTGGAAAGCTGGTTTATTTTAAAGTAATGAGAAGAAACTCATCAGGTATCTGATGTTTCAAAAGGTAAAAGTTATTTATTTTAGCTCCAGAATTCACACAGCATGGAATTAATTAAATCAAGGGGTCTGTGGTAGGCAAAATAATGCCTCCCTTCTGCCCCCCAAGATGTTCGTGTCCATATCGAAAGTAGATCATAGGCCTTTCTTCCTAGTCCATCTTAGTCTGGAAGTGCCACTGAAACTATTCAGCGTCATAGCAACATGCAGCCCTCCACTGACAGACAAGTGGTGGCTGTGCATGAGGTACATTGGCTGGGAAGGGAATTGCGCCCTGGTCTCTCATATGGAAGGCGGAAATTCTACCACTGAACCCCAGTGGTACTCATGTGCATCTTTTTAGCAGTCTGATGCAATATAGGACAGCTTTTCCAAATCAGTGCCGGCCTGTTGGAAAGAAAGTCATGAGAAGGCATTCAAAGTACCCATTTGTGCCTTTTGTTCTCACAGTGCAGCATTCAGTTAATTTGCCTGTGCACATCCATAAGTGAATGATTTCTGGAGTCTTTTTGAAATTGTTTCCTAATGTTACGCCACAACATTAGTTCTGTTTGTCCCAGGTATTGGCTTAATCCTAGTTCATAAAAACGCTGGAACAACAGATCTTCCTTCCATTCGTTTACCTTAGTGTTAGGCATGAAATATAACTAATTTCTGTTGTTTCTCTCTCTCTCCCCTCTCCCTTATTTTTATCATTATTGCTGAGTCCCACTTTATAATAGCTTAGTGTAATAGAAAAATCACTGAACTAGATGTCAGATGCTCTGGGTTTTAACTTTCTAACTTACTGTATAATCTTTGTCTCTCACTTAATCTTCACTACCTATTTCACCTTCTTCATGGAGTGTTACAGGAATAGAAAGGGTAAAAATAAGTAGTGTTCAAATACACAATATTATACGTGTATATTTTAATGGAAAGAGATATTTTTACTTTCAACAGTGATGAGGAGGTTAAAGATTTCAAAAAATCTTTGAACTGTGCTGGATACCTTAAATAATGGGTATAGTAGCAGCTTCTGTACCGAGTAATAAGTATTTCTAAGACAATAGTATAATGCCTATTTCTCGTGACTCATTCCTTAAAGTTGTTGTAGTTTCCACCTTTTCTAGATGCGTATTCTTTTTCTGCTTCTCCCATCCTGCCACCCAGCACACACATTTACCTTCAGATGCTTTTATTTCTCTCTTACTAGGGAGCCACCATTAAGAAGGATGAGCAGACTGGGGCCATCACTGTGGCTAGAATCATGAGAGGAGGAGCCGCAGATAGAAGTGGTAAGGTTTTAAAAGTCAGATGATTATAGAGAAGTCATGTTGCATTTTGTGGTGCAACGCTTGTAACGTATAATCAAGAAGATAACAATCATGTGATACAGTGTAGCAAAACCAGCAGTAGGCTATTCTCCTCTGTATTGACATGGGGGGACCTAGTTAAATAAATGACAGATAAATCTTACTTTATAGTCTTAGGTTACACAGGCTTCCCAAGTTATATTAAGCTATATCAGCAGTTTTTCCATGTGCAGCTCGTTGACAGTGGTTACATGTGTCACATTGTATCGTCATTCTCCCTGTCTCTGCCCACATGGTTTCACCACTGTTCACTTAGAGTTTCTGCCCCTTAAAGTTCTTGTCTGTGTTTCGGAGTTAGTATTGTCTACTTAATAGCGTATAGATAATTCTTTAAAAGAGCACAGCACTCAAGGCAAACAGTCTTTATTAAATGAGCTAAATTATTATTTAAAGATTATATCATGGGATAGTTGTCTCCAGGCAGTAGGTTCAGAGGTTTCCCCATCTCAGTGTTATCTAGCAAGTCTGGCTTCCAATGAGCATTTGAAGTTTTGTTCCACATTTTTTCCTCTTTTTGATCAAGATCTATCCATTGGGTCCTTGATCAAAATGTTCAGTAATTGTAGACATGCACCATCCGTTTCTTCTGATCTCATGGCAGGGGAGGTACTAGTTCATGGAGGCAATTAGACCTGCAGTCCACTTCCTTCCCTGATTCCTGGGTCTCCCTCCTCTGTTGTGAACTGAGACCAGTTGTATCTTGGGTGGCTGCTTGCTAGCTTTTAAGACCCCAGGCACTACTCACTGAAGTAGGAGGTAGAGCAGAAACTCCAAAAACACTGTTAGGCCAGTTGACTACAGAGGTCCACGACACCATGATCCTAACTGAACCTTTGAACCAAGAAAGCTGATCATGAAACTATGACCCTCAGCCTTTGAACCAAGAATGCTGTTCCCATGAGGTGTTTATTTATGCTTGTGTAGTATCAACACCTGCAGTCTTTTTTTTTTTTTTTGGCTGCTGTTTTTATTGTAAAATTATATATAATGTTCTATTTATCATTTCGTCCTTTTTTCCCCTCAGTGTACAGCTTAGTGATATCAGTTACGATAAGACTTTTTCTTTTTTTTTTTTTAAGTGTTTCTGGTTTGGAAAGTACTACTAAAAGCATGCAACCTCTTATGAAAATTAAAAAAGTTTTTATAAGAAATCAGTGATGTGTGTTTCTAGGCAAAGACGAAGGTGCTGTTGTCATTTCTTTGCCAGCATTGTTATGCTGCAGTCTTCGATTTATTGCTTTATTATGAAAGCAGAGTGCAAATCTGAAACCCGAGAAGTTTGAAGGTCTCCTCTGCAGGCCTTAAATGCATTAAGGGAACCTAACATTGTTTTAACTATAGAAACAATTGGAAAATACAGTTCCTTTTGCTATGAGCACATATTTGCTGTTTCTCAGGTCTTATTCATGTCGGTGATGAACTTAGGGAAGTGAATGGAATCCCAGTAGAGGATAAAAGTCCTGAGGAAATAATACAGATTTTGGTAAGTTGCAAAATTACTTTAAAATTGCAATAAAAATAAAATTAAATCACGATATTTCAGACTTGGTCAAGAATACAGGATTTGAAGTTGGCAGACCAGGCTCTAAATCCTGATCCCGTCCCTGTGTGTCTCTGAAAAATATATTAATCTGTTTGTGCCTCAGTGTTTTCATTTACAAAATGAGAATAGAAAGAGGCAAATATCTCACTGGAGTGTTTTGAATATTAAATGAGGTTAAGTGTATAAAGAGTTTAGTGCAGGGTCATCCCAAATGAGGTACTTAAAAGGTAGTGTCTGCTGTGTCATTGGTGACGCATTAATCTTCTTCCTCCTCCATCTATGTGGCCATACGATAGGCTGTGATTTCAAAGTATATAAAGTAGTGAAACTAATTTAGATGTCTTATGAAATCTAAACTGAATGAGGTTACTGTAGGCCATTACAATATTATAAAGCTCATTTGTAAGGATAAAATGAAGGGAGACTGTCCCTGTTATACACAGTATATGCCCTGGTGTCGTAGTGGTTAAGAGCTCGGGTGCTCACCAAAAGGTCAGCAGGTCAAATCCACCAGCCTCCTTGGAAACCCTGCGGGGCAGTTTTCTGCTCTGTCCTACAGGGTTGCTATGAGTCAAAATTGACTCAACGGCACCTGACAACAACATACAATAAATCTCCAGGAATAAAAAGAGAGTTGAAAATCTCAAAACAGACCTATGTATATATGAAAATTTAATATATGATTAAGATGGCATTTTAAACCAGTGGAAAAATAACGAACCGTGTCATAAATAGGATTGGATTAATTAGTGATTCATTTAGAAAAAAATCAATCTCTGTTTTGCACTATACGCAAGTAAATTCCCAGCAAATGAACTATTTCAGTATAAAAACAGTCTTAAAAATAGCACAATAAAATATACAATTTTTATGATTAGAGGGTAGGGAAAGCCTTTTTAAACTTAGTGTGAAAATCAAGTAGAAAAGTAACATGTGACTACTGTAACTGAAAACTTCTGTACAGAAAAAACAGCCAATAAATAAAGACAAATGAGATAGTAGGAAAAATATTTTCAACGTATGTGGTAAAAGGCTAATAGTATAGAAAGAGTGCATAAGAAAATGAAAAGAGAAAAACATTTTCAGAAAAATTGGCAAAGCATATGCACAGACAGGTTACGAATGAAAACATGATGTCTGAAGAACATTGGATTGGTGGCCACTTTAAGGCTTGGTAATGCCCAGAGTTGACCAGAGCAGAGGGGGATAGATATGTGTATCTGCTTTTGATAGTAGGCAAAATTAGTAGAACCTTTTGAGATGGCCATCTGTAACTGTCAAAATTTCAAACGTTCATACCCTTTAGTCAAGAAATTCAGTTGAACATGATAAAGGTAGTGTCACTGACTTGTACCTGTGAAGAATGTTGAAATGTTTTGTTACGTATATAGTTACCACAACTAAAAAAATAAATTCAATTGTAAATAAAGCCTAAAGAAATAATTTGGCAAGTGGGAAAAAATAATGTGTATAAACAAAATATTTTTAAAATATTTGGAAATTATCAAGAGGGTCGCATTGATTAAGTAGATTATCATTCATCATTATCGTCATATGATGGGTTACTATGAGTTAATTACAATAGGTGAGATAGCCCTGTATGACTTAATATTAGTAGTAATAATAATAGCTAATGTTTATTAGGCCATATTGAATGCAATTGTTCTGAAATTTAAATAACTACATTACATACATTATTATCCCCTCCCATTCTTCTTTTTTTTTAGAGAAGACTTTTGCTTTCTCCCTACCTATACAATTTAGTATTATATGAATTTTGATAATATTCATAAATTACTTCTGTAAGTAGTTACAATGATATTGCCATTTTGAAATAAGCCACTCCTTTATAAAACTGTGATATTTATACTATTAAAGCCCATTTTACATAAATTGCTGCGTTCTGTTGAAGCTGCCTCCTTTTGGTCATTAGAGCTGACTGTGACTCTTCCCAACTCTGCTCTCAGTGACTTCATGCTGGCAAATTGAATTTGGCCATGGTAGTAGCATGTATACCTTGGAAATTGGCAAACATTATAAATTGGGGCCTTTAAAAAAAAAAGCAGAGACCCGGCTTACCAGCTTGCTCCTGACAGTGAGCCTTAGAGGCCTTCCCCCTTTATTCCCTAACCCTCTCCTTCCTTTGTCCCTGAAAACAGGGGTAACCCATTGCCTTCTGGTTGATCCCAACTCATAGCAATGGTATAGAGCTGAGTAGAACTGCCCCGTAGAGTTTCCAAGGCTGTAATCTTTACAGAAGCAGACTGCCACATCTTTCTCCCCTGGAGAAACTGGTGGGTTTGAACTGCTGACCTTTTCGGTAGTAGCTGAGCACTTAACCACTGCGCTATAAATACAGTGGCCTGAACCTTGCACATTAGCTTAGCAATTCTTAGTTTCACAGAACTTTGTTGTTGAAATTACCTATTATCTATTCTACCCCTTTAGCATTGTCTTTATTTAAGGCACTGTGCATATTTGTTTTTATTCTGAAGTCACTCAGCACGGGTAGTAATCTAGTCCTTGATGTCTCAGAAGTGCACAGGAAGTTAAAGTGGGTTCAGTGGTTATTTTTTAACTTGTTTGACAAACTTTTGTGCTTTCTCAGGTTACAGGAATGTCTACAAAACTGGTTTCCTCATGTTGATGTACCTAGTAAATTTTCAGATGCGTTTAGTTTTCTCCTTGTTTTACTTTATTTCCCCTCAGCTCTAGGAATTTTCTGATAACTGTTTCTTTCATTTCTTTCATCAGAGTCAGTCCCAGGGAGCAATCACGTTCAAGATTATACCCAGCATCAAAGAGGAGACCCCGCCTAAAGAGGGCAAGGTAATCGCTACTTACGCCAATTCTGGGGGCCCTGGGGAAAGGAACGTTTTTCCAAATAATTCATACCCACTTTTTCACACTAAGTTCATTTTGATATTCTAGTTTTAAGAAGTTATCATTTCTTAAATCAGAGTTAGAAGGATGAAGGCCATCTCACATTCTTGTTTATCTTTATTCATCGTCAATGAAACTTTGTCTTCCAGATGTTCATCAGAGCCCTCTTTGACTATGATCCTAATGAGGACAAAGCAATTCCATGTAAAGAAGCTGGCCTTTCTTTCAAAAAAGGAGATATACTTCAGATTATGAGCCAAGATGATGCCACGTGGTGGCAAGCGAAGCATGAGGGTGACGCCAACCCCAGAGCAGGGCTGATTCCCTCCAAGCATTTCCAGGAAAGGTGAGCTCCTGGCATAGGCTGTGGCCTTTCCCAAACTGAGCTGTGGTTGTCTGCAAACCATCATCCCAGCACAGTGTGATAAAATAAGCTCTGAAACCTTGCCTTGGAATCCTTTTTCCCCTGGGTGTGGATTTCTGTTTTGTCTACCCAAGTATGAATAAGGACCAAAAATAATGTGATAGTACTGGTCCTGGATTTTGTTGTGAAGCAAATGGAAAATAGCACATTAATCTCTGAAATGGTATTTATGTGAAAGGTGGGAAAAAAGAACTGTCATTTTAGGGGGGATCGTTTATAAAAATTTAAAAGTAGAAGATTGATGTCTTAATTTAAGTGTATTGCATTGTGTTCATTTTTTTCCCTAGCTTTCAAGTTTTTCTTAAGACTTCTCGGTATTTTGGTGTTGTGTTAATTTCAGACCTGGACTGAGAACTGATAGGCATATTGACCTTATTTTCCCCCAGGAGATTGGCTCTGAGACGACCAGAAATATTAGTTCAGCCCTTGAAAGTTTCCAACAGGAAATCATGTAAGTGTGTTAATGTTAGAATGCAGGATAACTAAATCCTGCTATTTTTTTGAGTATTAAAACAGGTGTTTGTGGCAGAACACGAGGTCATATTACCTTGCAATAGCTTCTGAATGATCATTTCACAGTAATTGAACAAATGAGAAATTCACAGTAGGAATACTAATGTGAATCTTTTGAAGAATTAGGGGTGGTTGGATTGTTTGTAATAAGCCATGATTCACTGTTTAATAAAATAACTAATAAATACCACTGCTCTCTTCAGTTTCTGAATTTAGGTATTTTAGAAATGTAACCTAAAATGCAACTCTAATTTTTCCAAAGCCCAAAGATTCGAGTAAGATATTTCTCGGTAAGGACTAAGAGGAAAAAATCCAGAACTTTTTTGGGCACAAAAACAGTTGTGCCTAAGAATAATTCCTTTCTTACCCACAAATCATAACTCTAATCTTTAGTCCGTCTGTTTGGAGTTATCACAAGACTAGAGAAAAAGACGCTGAGAGTAGAGAAGGGCAGGGTAGGCCTCCTGAAAAAGACAGTGTGGATTTAGGTGCGTTATTTTGTCTTTCCGCCTACCCTTCTCTCAGATTTCCTTCACTTCCCACCTGCTGCCCTCTCACCTTCTCATCTCATAAATATTCTACTCCATCTCCCCTAAACATTTCATGATCCTAGGTATCTTAGGAGGGAGAGAAAGTCCTTTGTTTTCAGCATAGGAGTTGTACATTAAAAGGCCAAATGAGCACATAAATGGCCCTGGAATTTTACACCAACATCTGTTTTTAGTATGGTTGCATTTTTCACATCTCCTGTTACTGTCAGTTTGTAGACACCTGTAACCCAGAAATCACGTCAGAGGAGAGCCAAACTACAGTCGAGTGTAAATCTCACAAGAGGCAAATACTTCAAGTGGAGCACTGATTCCGAAGTCCGCTTGTTCCTGCTGCATTAAGTCTGGGCAGCAGGAAAAAGCACTTGTCATAGAATGCCACATATCTTAGGACATCAGAAAGCTTAAAGGTGAAGCAGAATAGTGCATTGTTCTTAAATGTGATGACTTCACTGGCAACTCACCCAACTGCAAGGAGCTCTGAAGCATCTACCTGACTTACTCTTTGAGGGATTTTTCAGTTTGAGACTTGAAGGCTTGCCCAATTCTAATATATTTGCTTCATGTGGGATAAAGGATATGTAGCTTTAAAATAAATGTGATTGTATTCTAATTTGAATCCATATCCAAATTTGTTTGAGTCATAGGCAACTTAGAAATTTAAAATGTAATTATGAATTTTCATTATTTAAAACTTTTTTTTAGTGTGCTTTAGATGAACGTTTACAGAACAAACTAGCTTCTCATTAAACAGTTAGTACATACATTGTTTTATGACATTGGTTAACAACCCCACGACATGTCAGTACTCTCCCTTGTTGACCTTGGGTTCCCTATCACCAGCTTTCCTGCCCCTCCTGCCTTCTAGTCCTCGCCCCTGGGCTGGTGTGCTCCTTTTAGTCTCGTTTTGTCCTATGGGTCTGTCTAATCTTTGACGAAAAGGTGAACCTCCAGAGTGACTTCATTACTGAGCTAAAAGGTGTCCAGGGGCCGTACTCTTGGGGTTTCTCCAGTCTCTGTCAGGTCAGTAAATCTGGTCTTCTGTTGAGTTAGAATTTTGTTCTACATTTTTCTTCCAGCTCTGTCTGGGACCCTCTGTTGTGATCTCTGTCAGAGCAGTCAGTGGTGGTAGCTGGGCACCATCTGGTTGTACTGGACTCAGTCTGCTGGAGGCCCTAGTAGTTGTGGTCTGTTAGTCCTTTGGACTAATCTTTCCCTTGTGTCTTTAGTTTTCTTCATTGTCCCTTGCTCCTGAAGGGGTGAGACCAGTGGAGTATCTTAGATGGCCACTCAGAGGCTTTTAAGACCCCAGGCGCTACTCACCAAGGTAGAATGTAGAACATTTTCTTTATAAATTGTGTTATGCCAATTGAGCTAGATGTTCCACAGCCCCCAGCCCAGTAATTCAGTCCCGCAGGGAGTTTGAGTTTGTCCATGGAGCTTCCATGACCTTACCCTGAACAAGTTGTGCTGGCTTCCCCAGTATTGTGTACTGTCTTACCCTTCACCAAAGTATTTAAAGCTTTTGATAAAGGTATACATTGTTTTTGTAAAGAACTGTACAAAGTGGATAGATTGTCTTTTCAGTAGCTCTCCCAAAACTGGTATAGACATGGGTGAATTTGAGAGGAGTGAGTGAGCGTGTGTGTGTGTGTGTGTGTGTGTGTGTGTGTGTGTATGTATGGGTAGAAGTGTTAATTTTAATGGAAATCTGTTAATTTGCGTAATTTCTTTTTTACATGAATACTTTTTCAAATCTGAGAGATCTAGTCAGGATTTGTCTGTACTGAAATGGCCTCATTTTGGACGTTTACTAATTATTCTGCTTTTTGAACACCATTCAGAAATGTTTACTGATTTTTTTCTCCCTTTCTTTCTTCCTCTCATCCTCCCCCACTTTCTTTTTTTTTGGATTAGATTTTATTCACTGAGGGGTGTAATATTTCTTCTCATCTATAGATGTTATTTCTTTTTAAATCTGGTCAAGATTATTCAAAGTAAATTACCAATGCGTAGTAAATGTGACTTTGTTCACAGAGACAATATGTTATATTTCTATGAAATTAAATAAAAAGCCAGTGTCTTTATCCTCAAAGAATTGAAATTATATTTAAAATTTATTTGAATGTTGTCTCCTAAACCCCTGAACTTAAAAATTATGGCGAAATCATTGTACTGGTTCTTAAATTTTTTAATGGCATTTAAAAGCGCTTTGTTTTGTAACTTAGGTATTTGATAGTGATCCCTTACATAACTAAATCTTTTTAGGCCATCTGACTCACTGCTTCCTGGATTTGAACATTTGGAACTTAGATTTTTAGAGTAGAAGGTTCATGTTATCATGCCCTTTGCTAAATCCTAGAATAATGTATAAAGAAAAACAGGAAGATATAAAATCTTTTATTTTTATGACTTTGACTATTAATTAGTAAGATAGGTTTTAAGTTTTTGATTTCATGTAAAATTTCTAAAAGAAGAGTAATTCTGTTATGTTGGTGTTTATAAATTTATGAAAAAATATTTACAGTGATAAAAAGTTTTCAGCTCTAAATTTTACAAGTGCATTTCAAACCTAGGAAGATATGGTAAGCATTGAATTTGGAATCATGAATTTAGTCATGAAATAGTATCTATCAAATTAGCCAGTTAACTTTTCCCCACAAAATGATTGCTTGTATTACTATGATTTTTCTTTTTATTTGATTCATAGTGCTGTATCATGACTGAAGTTTGCATGTAGGAAAATGTTACGTGGAAGTGGTTCTGGAATTACAGGGTTTCAGCTAATACCAACATAGAAGTAAAAAACGAATGGCGAATCCCAGTCTTGTTATCTCAACAGTCATAATTGCAGCAGAACTCTGGTTTTGGCTCCAAGGTAAACAAAGTCAGGAGCTGTGGTAATAACCAGCTTCTCAGGCTCTAAAACCAGCATCTTGATGCAAAACTCTGAGCGCAGGCGGCTCTGTCTTTGATGGTTGGTTATTTCCTCCCCTTCCGAATCTTGACGATCTAATACCTATTCAGGAAATAGGCTTCGCAAGCAAAATAACTTGGCTCTTCAAATGAAGACATTCCCAAAAATTAAAACAGGAACTTTTGAAGCTAAAACTTGCCTACATTTTAGCAGCTTAATATATAGTCCCCTCCTTCTCTTATTTTTTTGGAAGAATTGCTTGTCCAGCAAAGAAGTTTGTCATAGAAATTTGTTTTCCCTGCCTCCCTTATCTAATGATAGGTTCTCACATAATGGGGTTGTACTAGGAGTACAGACAGAAGAGCAGATCTAGAAGTATGATAGATTTTCTTTGCTATAACCAGCTTTTAGATGACTACATAAAAGGCACAGCTTAAGTGGTCTGGGAAAGCGTATATCTCAAGTAGCATATAGGAATGGTTTTGTATGACAGAAACTTGGCAGCTTGTATTTCTTATGTCGATATAATTTAAAGTACTCTGATTTTTTGCCTAAAGCTTATTTATGCGGTTGCATATATAGAGCAATATGATATCTAACTTTTATGAAAAAAATATGAATTTCTTTGATTATTTAAAATACCATTTATTCCCTTTCTATTGAAATCTAAGTATCTGAGTTAAGAATTGTTTTGCTAATAGCATAAACCTTCATTTAGCTTTAATTTCGATAGGATGTAAGTTATGTTTAAGTTCAGTATGTGTGGTATTCGGAAAGGGAGGAAAGGCTCTTGTGTATATGCTGTATTTTACAGCAGAATATTCACGTCTGATTTTTCTTTACAGCGCTTAGTTTCCTGTTGGTTATCAAAATATACTATGAAATTTATATTATAAATGAAAATTTCTAAATATTGCTGATTGAAGAATACTAATTTAACAATAAAAATGCATAATTTATTGACCTTTTAAAGATTAGAAAGTAAAACATAAAAAATAAAAACATTTTAGGATTTATTTTAACCAGTTGTAGTTGCCATCATGTGAGTTAAAAAGAAATTATTTAACTGCAGCCAAAGGGTGTCCATTCAAACAAGATGTAACGTAGTCTATCGAAAGGCAAGCGTTCTGTGGATTGAAGACCACAGTCTGCTAACGAAAGAATGTAAGCATTGAGTAAACGAATGAATTCACTGTAGCAATATTTTGGAAGGCCACACATTTAGAAATAACATATATAACAGGATGTTACAGATTGTTGTAATTAAACTTTTCAAGGTGGGTAAACTCCTTCCCCCTGGCATTTTCAATACTGTTTCTTTAGCGCGTTAACTCGAGAAGTTAATTTGGAAACAAATAGATGGCTTACGCTGTTAGGTTAGTTGATGTGTCTAAAACTTTGTCAGACATTTTCTTAATATTGGTAGGATTTTGTGTAAATAAAAATACCTGACGTATTTTTTTTCCTGATACT